TTCAGTAAAAAGAAGAGCTCCAAGTGATGTTTGCTGTCCCTTCTGATGTGTCTTTGCCAAAGCAGTGATCAGAAACTGTACCAGACTGGAGAGAGCTGGAGAAGGTGGACATGGGCCTGGGGAGGGAAGGAGGAGAGCCAAAATGGTTGTTTTCTGCATGATATTTTTATAAGAGTAAGCTTTCTAATGTTCTTATAGCTTTGTGCAATGCACTGAGAAGAAAGAAGATGGAAATTTTTGCCTGCTAAAATGTTTAAAGTAACCTTAGTGGGTTTTTTCCTAAAAGATGCGTTTTAAGTTATTAAAATAATTAAATCATTGATTTCCTGTAGAAAAGTTAAAGTGGTTGTTCTTGAGTAAGTCCAGAAGAGCAGGGGGGTGCTTGAAGTCTGGTGTAAAAATTCTGCATAACTGGAAGATTTGGCAGGAGCACAAAGTGAGTGTGTGAAAACCTCTGCTGCAGAAACGCCCCAGAAAGAACCTTTTACATGATAGCTGTCTTCTGTTCTGACAAGGATTCAGACCAAAGTTTAAGAGTCATTTGAAGGACACCCCACGGCTTGATCTGGGGAGATCCTTGTAGGTGTAGTGATGGGACTGTTGTTAGGCTGGGGAATATCTCAGAGGCTTTTGGGTCCTGAGAAGTCAGTTAGCTTTCTGTTGTTTTTTTCTCTTTCCCACCTTAAGCTGTGAATGCTGTACATTGAATATTGAATTTTTTACGTGCGATTGAACATGAATCCCATCCAGAATCCGCTGATATCTTTGGGACACTTAAAGCTTGTGATATTGCCAGGATTGGTCTACATCTCTACCAGCACAGCCCACTTCAGCCATACTTATCATCACTGAGAGCAACCACGTAGATGATCACTGTTGTTTCCATTTATTGCTTGTGCATTGGGGAAAGTTATCTTCTTTTTTCTGCAAATAGGATTTTCAGACTTTCACTGAAGCAGTAGCAAGTATTAACTCTTGAGCTGGCAAAGGCAGCAGGATTAATTAGTTCATGCCTCAAAGAGCTCGGTACGAAGGTGAAAATTGCAGTGTAAGTGAAACATATGATTATTGCTAATTAAAATGCAAATGTTAGGTTTGACAGCTAGTTTCCAAAGGAGGGTGGCTGGCAGTGTTTATGTGCATGAGCCTCACTGTTCCCAAGAAGGTGCAGAGCTTGGCCAGAAGGATTGGCATGGATGAGAGCAGCTGCTGGGAATCCATCTCTGGAGAGGGTGATGTTTTCCCTCCAAGTGTGGCTCAGAGGTCCCATCTCCTGATAGTGAGGGTAGAACACAAATGGCAGGTGGAGGAGCACGACTAGAAGCTGAGAGCACAGCATTCAAGGGTTGTTTGGGGTCTTGGAAGAGACTGGGAGAGTCTTGGTCTTTTGAGGGCAGGGCAGAGAGTAAAAGGTTCAGGTGATGGGGGATTGGGTTGGCAAAAGGCAAGGAATGGAGAGCTTCGTGGCATCACAGCTGTATCTTCAGCTTCTGTCAGCTTTGGCAAGCAATCCTGTTCCTGCAACATGCTGAATTTATTTAGCAAGAGCACTGTGTGGGAGACACATCCCACGCTTTGGGATGGAGGAAGAGCAGTGCCACGTCTCACCATTGCCGAGCCCCGGCTTTCTGCTGAAGTCCAGCTGCCTGTATGGGTTTGGGAATGGGTTTTTATGGTGAAGGGGTTTTTGTTGCTTGGTTGTTTTTTGAGTACTCTCACCCAGTCCTTGAGCATCACCCATGAGGTTGGTGCGAGCTTCCCTGATCCTGCAGAAAGGAGGTCTGCAGAGAGGGCCCATTTTAGTGGGAAATGGCTTTATTAAAGGACACAAAGCCACCAGAAATGTCTGGCAGAGTTTCTGGTGGACTTTTTTTTTTTTTTTCTGGAGTTTTGAATCCCTGTCTGCAAGGTACCAGTGAAAAGTTGTTCACCTATAGCAATTAGTCAGAAATTTGGGGGAAATATTGAGTGTAGCTGTGCTGGTGAGTTTGAACATGAGTATGTCTAGGCCATACTAATTCGGACTGTTTCAGATTGAACAGAAATTTCAACAATTTTTAGTTTAAAAATTTTTATTTTAGAAATCATTTTTCAACATAGATATTACTAGTGCATGATATAGATAAGGAGCATGAACAGGAAAAAAGCCCCAGGCCATGAGTTAGAGCCAGGAGACGAACTGATTTAGTAAAAGGGTACCTGTGATTGTGATCTAACTGGTTTGTGCTGTATCCACTGGCTTTCTTGGTGGATGTTGATACATGGTGGTACTTATCTCCCTGTTTCTGACACGGGTTTTATCACAATAAAATGCCAGCTGAGTTTCTGGAATTGGCAAAACCTCAGGCTGTCTGCAGAAAGCCATGATTAAAAGTTGGGTCAACTGAACATAACCTGTGTAAGTGTTTATTTTCAGTGAGACCTGATCCCACTGTAGCGTTTGGCACCAAAATTTTGTGTGTGTGGATGAGCAAGATGTTCAGAGTGTAGGATACACACTGGTGGTAACTAGTCCTTCAAACATCTGGGCAGTGAAGGTGTCTTTCTCCCAACCACCTTTTCAGTTGGTGCACCTCTTCCCCTCATCAGGTGAGATATTTCTCACTTCTCAGGATATCTGCAGGCTTGGCTCTTCCCCAAGGCTTCCCAAAGTGGCCACAAGTGACATGGGTCCAGTGTTTTTTCCCTCCGTGCCAATTTAACAACTCTCTCAATTTTGTTCCATTTGGTATTCCTCAGCCATTGGGAGGTTCGGGTCAGGGTGTGCTCAGAAGGGAAGAAGGTGCTTTAGCTGTTGTAACATCTGGTGGGAATAACCACAACCTTTCAGATTTCATTTATACTCAGATTGAAAACCAGTTGGTCTCCTCTTTTGAAGTCAGTACTGAATTTAGGCTATAGCAACCACAATGTATTTGAGCGTGCTTGAAACTTATTAGGTTTGAGGATGGAGAATGAGCAGCTGGAACAAAGCAGAAACGAGCACTAGTGTGTTTTGTTCCCAATCCCTCATGTTGGGTAAATACTTACATGTTTCCTGTGCATTAAGGTCCATGCTGGACCATCGGGTAGCATCACCTTGGGTAGTTTAGGGTCTATTGTGCAGCTGTCTCCCTACTCCATCCAACCCAAGTGGCGCTGGTGGAGCTGGGACCTGATCTGTGCCTTTAAATTGGTGGCCTGGACTTGGCTGTTGTGTTCAACAGGAGTTTGAGTGGTGAGTCCTTTTGGCTTTTGAAGGCCAAGGTGGCCCTGCCCCTGCCTTAGCCCATGGCAGTGTCTGCAGGACCTCATGTAGCCCCACGAGGATGTCCGAGGCATGAGAAACCCTCTTTTAAGTGTCAGCTCTCACACCAGTCCTAAAACATATGCTTCCCTTTGTACTTCCCAGATTTGCAGAGAACTTGAAAGAGTTTGATATTCTGCACTCTGTGATTTCAGGGGTTTCTGATCATTTTAGGTCACTTCAAAAGTCTTTCCCAAGCCTCTTGCTTTTGGAGCAATTAGCCTGACAATATCCACCTTTCTCCCCAAGCACCTTGTGGGATGTTTGTATAGGACTGATCAGGTAAGTTGTTCTGGTTTTCAGATGAGTCATTATGCCCTCAGGGCTGAACAAGAAACCTGCAGGTTGCTTGACAGCTCAGCAAGTAAGAGAATAAAGGAGAACACTAGACACAGCTCCTTAATAGGCAAAAATAGTTGTTTTTGTAATGTGTCTTCTGGTGAACTACAAGTGTTTTCAGATGTGTGAGTAACTAGATTCCAGTACTGGGCTAAGCAGTGGGAAAAACTTACTGAAGTGTTGATTTAGGCCTGGGAGGAGAATTAAGGAAGTAGAATAGAATGGAATAGGATAGGATAGAATAGAATTAGAATTAGAATTAGAATTAGAATAGAATAGAATGGAATGGAATGGAATGGAATGGAATGGAATGGAATAGAATAGAATAGAATAGAATAGAATAGAATAGAATA